GACAGCAAATCTGTCCTTCCTCTACCTTTTATTTCTATTCAGGACCTTGGTGTATTGACTGAAACTCACTAATATTAGTGAGGGCAATTTTCTTTCTCATCCTACCAATTCAAATGCTAATCTCTTCCAGGAATACCCTTAAAGACACACCTAGAAATAATGTTTTACTAGCTATCTGGGCATTCTCAGCCCAATCAAGTTGATACATAAAATTAACCACCACACTGCCTGAACCCTGATGAAGGTGGACATAAAGCTGACACCCTAAACTATGCACAGTTCAAAACACACTACCTTCCTGCTTCTAAGCCTCTGGCTATACAAAAGAGCAATTCCAGTAAGTTTGGTTTTTTTAAAAATAAATTATTCAAAATAACAGACAATCCACCATGCAGTTTCTAGAAGAAACATGTGCTTCTTAAATTGAAAATTCTGGCCCATTAACTTCCTGAAAGGGGAAGGTGGATAGTTACTGGAGAGTTCTGTGAATGAGGTAATCTGAAATCTGTATAGCCCCTGGGGGAAAAGTCTTTCAAGTGTTCTAGTTGAATGTTTCTATTTAGAGGGATTTGTATTTAATGGATGACAAGTTAATGTGTCATCAGTGTCTGTGATTGTGGTAAATCTGCTAAAAAAAATGACACATGTTATATGTGCAACTTTCTATTTTACTGACATATTAACTTGTCTGTTAAACAGGATTTTTTTAAAATCTTGTAAAACTGAAAGAGCCCTCCAGAGGATTCTGCTTTGTGGCACTCAGTGCCTTCTCCAGAACTTTTCAGCTGGATTTTTTTTTTTTCTGGCTTTTCAGAGCTTTTGGCTTTGCGTTTTCTAGGAAGGAAACTGATTTCTCCAGCAGGAAACTCTGTGCAATCTACTCTCTAACCTGGATGAACAAACCAAAACACTAACAGCAATACTACTTATTTAGAAGAACTGAACAATATATGTGCTCAGGCTCCAAAATCATGAACTGACGCACTGATATAATCCCCTCACCCACATTAGAGCCCACTGTCCGTAGCATAATACCATCTGCCTAGATAGAACTCTTTTCCTAGAAACGTAAACGATTTGACAATAGTTGTTAATAACTATAATGTATTTGGAGATAAAACAGATGTTATTTTTTCCCTTTTATACATATGTGTGTGTGTGTGTGTATGTGTGTGTGTGTGTATGTGTGTGTGTGTGTGTGTGCCTAAGACACTGAGACACAGAAAATCCACACTGTAAGTCCAAATTACTGAAGGAGTATACTATGGATGTACTGACCCATTACCGATGACTTTATCCGACATTTTTATCATCCCTTGCTCTAAGTCTACATTATTGGCCACTGTTCATATTTTATGCTAGTTCCTTTTCACATTTCAAATCCTCTGCTATTTTAACAGAGGAGTTACTAAATTCTAACTTGTGTCTAGTATTGACTAAGAGGTAATAATATGCCTACTCTTCTTTTCATGTCTACTGTTTGTGTGTGTGTGTGTGTGTGTGTGTGTGTGTGTGTGTGTGTGTGTGTGTGTGTGTGTCTTTCAGGACTTCAGAGAGAAGGACCTGTAAAGTGATTCTAACCCTCTTCAGTGGTTGAGCTTCCCTAACCTGCCCTAAGCATCTTCAAGCTATAATGTGCTCTTTGCAAATCATCACTTTTTGATGCTCAAGAATTCCTACAGAATTGGTATAGTTCAGTGTGCAGCAAACCAGAATGGATTAGAAAAAAATCCAAGCCATGAAAACACATCTAAGAAAATAAATGCATGAATTGTTGGGAGAATAGCAGCGTGAGATTCCCCTGCCACTCTGGACTTTCCCATCCAAGATCATGCCTTTTATCCCACCAGGTCTTAGGAAGCCTGGGAGAGACTACTTACCTAGTCATTCACTAGCTGTGTGATCTTGAGCAAGCTACTTAATATCTCTGAGTGCCCATTCTCTCATCTGCCAAATGGAGAAAATTATACCTCTCTTATAACACTGTAAGGAATGAAACTCTATAAAATAGAATAGATCGGCAGAGAATATATCACATAACACAGTACCTTGTCTTTTATATGCAATTTTTAATGAAGGCTCTGATAATAATGGCAAGAATTATTATATTTATTAACTGGCCAGAAAAGAATGCTCATTCTTTTGTAAAAAAGTATTTCTAAATACATAAATTTGTTTCATGCTCTCATCTATTTCTTTTATATTTCTCCCCACCTTCTCACCTTTTTTTACCTCCCAGATCTTTCTACACCTACCAGGTACCTATGTTTATACAGTTCCTTCCCCCAGAAACTCACACACAAAGGTATCAGATAAACAGATTTTCACTTACTCTTCTAGGAAATAGAACCATAGGGAAAAAGAAAAATTCTTCATACAAAAGAATTAGTTGCTATCAAAATCTGCAGACAGTGTTTCGGGAAGGTAAAATCCTCCCTCACAGACTTTAGATTGCACAGCCACTCAGCTCAAAGTGGTTTCTGAGCAACACTCACCATCTGACCCCTGCTTATCTCTCGACACCTCAGCCTCCTCCCCATCACAGGTCCTCTTTCTTTATTCAACTGTTTACAGTCCTGGTTCACACTATGCTTCTCTCATTCATTTTATGCCTTTGCATGTCCTGTTTCCTTTGCCTAGAATGCCCAACTCTCACCCAGATATTTTCTGGCTGTCCTTGAAGATTCAGATTAGCTCACCTTTTCTGAATATGTCATAGTGCCTTCCCCAGGGTTCCTTCGCTGTTTGACTCTGGGATGGAGGAGTGGCATTCACATGGAAGGCTATGGGAATGGTGTCCCCTGGAGTTGTATTGTGCACAGTCTGAAGGACTGTACCTGTCCGCCACCCCACCTCCCCATGTACTCCACTAGTCTTATGGTGAACACCTTTATTCCAATTTTCTTCATTTACTTGAAATATTTCCCTCTAAACTAGCAGTTTCTTAGGAGAGGAATATGAGTTCTATTCCTGTTTTTCCAATTCTTCACACATAACAGGCACTCAACAAATATTTGATTTGGTTGGTTGATAGATAAATGAATTAACAAACACATGAATAAATTTGAAAGTTGACTGAAGGCTTAACTATAGAGATAGAGGATAATAACTTGTGAAATTAACTCTGTAGGGATAGGAAAAGAACAATAAAAAGAGATCAAAAGATAAAGTGGAGAAATCTTCCATTAATAGCCTAATTACTGACTCCCATTATACATGGCAAGAGCCCCTTCCAGATGAGGTTTTTTGGAAGGCCCCTGATATCTTAGTTATAGGTGGCTCACAATTTAGTAGAAACATATCCAAGGGGACAAGGGCAATATGATGATAAAGGTAGGCTTAAAGAATGAGGGACACAGGCTAGGACAAAGGTAGAGAAATCAGTCACAATCTTTTGGAATTAGAATGGAGTCCATGTCTGCACATCCCAAACTGAAAGACCCTGTTCTCTATTACTGGTTTCTCTCACTTTCTTTTGCTTACTGTTTAAAGTTTCAAAGCTTGAGGCACATAACATCCCTCTTTTTATCAGCTTTGGTTCACCTGAGAGCCGAAATTTCCTCTAGGAGACCAAGGACACCGGAGCCTATATTTAGAGCATACTTATTATGGGTTGGATGAAGACCTGACTGTGCCTAGAGTCATGCTGCTTAAAGCCATTCTAATATTCATTTAGTCAGAACTATAACCACACTGAGTTATTGCTGGTCTCATACAGACATATATTCCCAGACAGCTATGGTTTAGACAAGAGGATGTATATTATCTCTGCTGTTGTCCATCATGTCTTTTTATTTAATTATGACTATTGTGCTCAGAAGCAAGATGTTCAATCTGTAATCCCAGTTAAATTATTTCAACACAGTCTGTACATTTAAGCACATAGTTTTCTTTGAAGCTAACTTTGCTAAAATTGATATCTATTCTCTGCTATCTCTGCCTTCCAGGACTACCATATGCTACTCTAATGAGGAAGGAAGACAATTTTTTACATGAATGGTCTTTGTAAACTGGCATATAGGTTTAACTGGCATGGTGTTTTAAAAGTTCTATAAAGCACTAGAAGTTGTAGACAGTAAGAGCTCCAAAGATAGCTTTTAAATTTGAACACCAACTGAACTCTGTCACATTTTCATTGGATTTGTGACCCCCAAGCTCAACTGACACTCTCATAATACTTATGCTGTTTATAGGCAAATGTAGCTAAGCTTAAAAATATTAAAAGGGGCCAGTGTGATTTAATTAAGGGAATTGTTGAAAACCATAGAAAGCAACACCATTTAGATAAACTCCAAAACAAATGCTGCCAAGTTGTCTGAAAAGGCACTTGGATCATGGATTCCATGCTTGAGGGGTCAGCATATTCTCTGTATAAAACCTCATAGAAAACTGATAATTAGGAGTTAAGAGTTGTGAGAGCCAAAGTAAGGGAGAAAGAAAGGAAGGAAGAAGTCATTGGGAATTACTTCTAAGTCTGAGCCAGAAGAGACAAAGATACTCGCAGATAATTTTTTCATTTGTGATGAACACATATTCAAATATAGAGTTAGAGAAACCAAAGAGATGCTGAGAAATTATTACTTCATCAGAACCAAGCAAACAAAAACTCAGACTTGGAAAAATGAAAAAGAGGTATGAAGTCACGTGTGAGAATTTCTTACTTGAAAGAAAACTTTAGCAACAGAAAATATTTAACTGCAAACAAGTCTTTTGTGAGGCAGGGCCCCTTTTCTAAATTACTAATGTTCAGTTTACTTCCTATTCATCTGGAGTTCAAAAACTATGTATTTGTTAATTGGGTATGAAGGTACATACAAAACTTCTATCAGGGAGAGAAGGGGGGAGATGGTTGTTTCAGAAAATTTTCAATACTGATGGAAATAAATGGTCATGTATATTTTAGTCATCGTGGGGAATTTTTCTACCCTTGCTATGTTTATTTGAGAATGTAGAGCGGCTAAACAAACCTAAATGACAACTGTACTTTGTTGATTTTGCAGAGTTAGGAAGAAGACTGATGGGGCATGACAACTTCCATCGGGTTTGGAAGAAAGCAGAGTGTATTGAAGCTGAGATGCCAAACCGCCACTGAGGCCCAGGGACAATCCCCACCTCACGCTATCCTGTCAGACTTTGAGATTTATTAGTAATATGCTGCCTTTGCAAAGTGTAAAGAAACCAGTGCCAAGAAGGCGTATTCTTCCATATTGGGAATAGACGTGCTCTCAAGACAATGGCTTCAAAGGTCTCCTGTTTGTATGTTTTGACAGTTGTGTGCTGGGCCAGTGCTCTCTGGTACTTGAGTATAACCCGTCCTACTTCTTCCTACACTGGCTCCAAGCCATTCAGCCACCTAACGGTTGCCAGAAAAAATTTCACCTTTGGCAACATAAGAACTCGACCCATAAACCCACATTCTTTTGAATTTCTTATCAATGAGCCCAACAAATGTGAGAAAAACATTCCTTTCCTTGTAATTCTCATCAGTACCACTCACAAGGAATTCGATGCCCGCCAGGCAATCCGAGAGACCTGGGGGGATGAGAACAACTTTAAAGGCATAAAGATAGCCACTCTCTTCCTCCTGGGCAAGAACGCTGATCCTGTTCTGAATCAGATGGTGGAGCAAGAGAGCCAAATCTTCCATGACATCATTGTGGAGGACTTCATTGACTCCTACCATAACCTTACCCTGAAAACATTAATGGGGATGAGATGGGTGGCCACTTTTTGTTCAAAAGCCAAGTATGTCATGAAAACAGACAGTGACATTTTTGTAAACATGGACAACCTTATTTATAAATTACTTAAACCCTCCACTAAGCCAAGAAGAAGGTATTTTACTGGCTATGTCATCAATGGAGGCCCAATCCGGGACGTCCGCAGTAAGTGGTATATGCCCAGGGATTTGTACCCTGACAGTAACTACCCACCATTCTGTTCGGGGACTGGCTATATCTTTTCAGCCGATGTGGCTGAACTCATTTACAAGACCTCACTCCACACAAGGCTGCTTCACCTTGAAGACGTATATGTGGGACTGTGTCTTCGAAAGCTGGGCATACATCCTTTCCAGAACAGTGGCTTCAATCACTGGAAAATGGCCTATAGTTTGTGTAGATATCGCCGGGTTATTACCGTGCATCAGATCTCTCCAGAAGAAATGCACAGAATCTGGAATGACATGTCAAGCAAGAAACATCTCAGATGTTAGGATTTTTACCAATGTAAATATGTTTCTTTTCTTTTTTAAGAAATGGGGCCTACGGTGTTGGTATTTTACAGGGGAAATGAACTGGTGAAGGGGTTTTGTAAAGTTTTTGCTTCCTGCTTCTAATTCCTTTCTTGGATTACCAATTTACAAAAGTTAGGCTCTGGTCATAGAAACAATCAATGAGCTGGAAGGGCCAGATTTCATTCTCAGGTCCCAGGGCATTGCCATTTATCTCAAAAAGTGACTTCCAAACAACTCCTAGGACTTAGTTGCTGCATCTGAGATAAAAATTTGGTTCTTGGAAACTGAAACTCACAGTAATGTCTTCATATCATCTCTGCAAAAATTAATGCATAAGTAAAATAAACCTTTTCAAAAGCAATTCAGAAAGGATGTACAGTCAGGAAGACACATTAGACATAGATTATTAACATTATGTGTGTTGTTACATTCAACTTTTACATATATTGCCATGTAATGTATACAGTCTTTGCAGTTTTGCCAATAAATGAACTTATGCTGCAGGGAAGCTGTGATTAAGTGGATGGGAATTTAAACTTAAGAGTCAAATATTCTGTATGGTTGGAAGACAACTCTGCTTGCTCATCCAAGGATTAAACCTGGTCAGCAGGTGGAATGTATATAAAATGCTACTAAGAAAAGTAAACAAGAGAATTTTTCTTTTCCTTTTTTTGCTCTTTCAGAACAAACATTACTTGGTGCCTCCAAGGAGACTTTGCCAAATGTAATCCTACTTGCTTCCTTCCATACAATGCTAAATGCATTTTTTGCAGTTTCTGGATCTGCCAGGCACATGTCTCTATGTGTAGAAAATAAGTTGGTAGGAGACCAGGGAACAGTAAATCACATGAGAAAATATAAATTTAGGTATGCATTATAATTAACACACAACATAAGCTTGGCAATAGTGTAAGATGTCCCTCCCACACATTTGCAAAGCATGTGAGAAAATCTTGAAGGGATACCAATATGATTGAAAGATGTGGCCCTGCTGTTGACAGATATAATACTCTCTAGCATCTGAAAACACCTGAGCACCTTCAGCAGAAATGCTGTTATAAGGTGTTCATGGTTCATGGTGTTGATGTTCAAGGGAAGGAGGGGTGGGGAAGCCTGAGTTCAGGTCCTATTGAACTTATTTGGTCCCATCGTACTCACTGGGCCATGTGAGCAGGCATCTTAATCTTGCTGTGCTTCAATATGTTCATTTTTAAAATGGCTGTTAAAAACAAAAACAAAAACGCCTACCTCACAGGAACTGTGAGAACAGATCGCATTTGCTAAGTATTCTGGAATCCTTAGCTTAAAAGGTGCTACGTAATGCAATGTACCATGCATTATGCTAAATACTGAAATAATTACATGATTACAATGGTGGTCATTGGTAGTAGTAACATCATCTTACTATGAAATCTGCCAAAATAAAGATCAACTATGAACTATCAGTGCACCTAATCCTTCCAAGACTTTGACTTGCTCTTGGCTATATGTTAGATGTTTGGGAAAGCTTCAATTTCTCTGCCATTTCCTCTGGTTTTAATGAATAAGTTATTAGGTCAGGGTGTTGTCTTGAAATCCCAAGGTGCTGAAAGAGAAAGCAGCTGTCTTTCTTTGGGAAGGAACCTCCAACTGAAGGTATATTACAGTAAGTGAGGCATATGCTTTGCAAAGGGCATCACAGTCACTTAGATCTCAAGAAACATTTGATCTGAATTCTTTCTAAGAACTCTGAGGACAGGTAGAGCTAGTCCACCTCTACCAGAAGAAGACTAGGCTCTCAGCAAACCCACACATTTCACATCTTCTACCATTCATGAAAAAAACTCCTGTTTATCTATTCAAAGAACGCCTCACAGCTGGAAGAGTGTATCTTTTTATTTATTTATTTATGTATTTATTCTAAGTTGGTCGTTGGAAACCCCTACAGAAATTAATAGCAAACAGGGAGACAAAATGAACAAATGGAAGTCATGGCCTCTTTCTTGGAAACACCGAATCTCTCATTCCCAACCCTAAAGTAACCCAATATGAGACAATGCTTCCCATCCCTTAACACTTCTTCATCTAATAGCCAGCAGGACTGCCAGTTTTGACTAGAGAAGAGCATTAGGTAGCCTGGGGAGAGATGAATCAGCACAGAGTGAGCCACCCTCCAACCCTGCAGCCTCAACTGCTATGAGTTGTGACCACTGGGAAAATCTCACAACCTTGTACTTGGTTCACCTTCCAGTCATGCAGCCGAATCAAGTCTCTGTCCCATACTACTGCCTTGCATCTACCCCATTCTCAGTCAGGCCACCTTTGGTGTTGAGAAATTGCACATTATAAACATCGTATATGTACATCTATGAATTGGTTTCTATGTGTGTGTATACATTATGAATAGAGCCCTAATCTTTAAAAGGAGCAAAAATCAGAGAATCATATGTCTTAAAGAACTATTTCCTAACTTTTTTATGCTAGGTAATGCCCATGTGACAAAGATGTAAATATTCATCAAAGACCACATGTATATATTTTAAAGGCATTTTTTTTCTTCTTCCCAACTGTACGTATAGCTAGAATGTGCCTGCTGTGTAACATTTTCTTCTGCATGGAGCTTGGTGTGAGACAAGGCCATTTGTCCAGTGTTTCAATAGCCTTAAGCATGTTTGCCCTTCGTTTTTTGAATGCTCAAAAAAAAAGTTTAAGTGATCACAAAAAAGCTCTAACTTTCTACTTTTGTTAGTTTTATGATATGACACTGGTCAAATTATTGTTTCGATTATTTGTTTGAGCCATTCTTATCATTGCCCTGACATAAAATAATGTTTCAGACAGTATTCTACCAAGTTTCATTCAGATAGTTTTTACAAAACTCTCTGTCCCCTCACCTGTTTTTGTTCATTTTGCACTGGGTAATAATAGGTATCAGTAATCAGTGTCGATATTCTCAATGTTTCTTTTTTTAATTTATTTTTTGAGAAAAAAAGTTTTCTCTTTGGTGGCTAGTTTAGGTGGCTTTGTGTCTTCTTATAATGGAGGAAATGCCAGTTTCAATATGTAATATTGTACTTTTAAATAACCAGAATCCAAAAAGTGAAGATCATTTTCAATTTGGATTAAATTCAGAAGAACAAAACCCCTTTGCACGACATGACATGGGGAAAATAAACTCTTGACAGAGAAGCCAAGGAAGGAGTTTTTCAATCAAATCTCTTCTATCAAAAGACAATGAAGTATTTATCTAGAGCGTCTGGGATTCATTTTCTACCTTTCCTATTATGTGGGTTTAGTGGGGGAATTGATTATGTCATTTCTTCTGTAACGGTGAAGATAGTTTTTACAAGCAACAAAGTAACTTGTGAAAGAAAGAAGTAATTTACTAGAAAAACGCTTGTTGATGATAATTGACATTTAGGTATAACGTTATATATGAATGATTGTATTTATGTATTTATTTGTCAAAACTGTATATACTGTTTCGCCAAAAGTAATTGTCTGTAAAAGTGCACTCTCCAGGTTTCTAGTACTATTTAGGGTTACATGGGTTGCCAATCGAGCTGCTAATCAGAATACTATTTTTTGTATATCAATGTTATAAAACTAAAAATGACAAATAGATGCTGAAGATGCCATTACATTCAGTTTCCTTCACTTTCTTCCTGAATTATAAACTGTATTGAAAGCACGATGCTTATGTGTACAGGCCCATCTGTCATGAGGAAGATTACGGTTCCATAAAGCTGATTTTTTAAACCACTGGGACAAATAAACAGAAGGAGAACATATTTTCCACTTTGCTTCTTTTTTTAAAGAATCTATTTGGTGAGACGTGATTGCTAAAAGCTGATGCCCTGCCATTCACCATTAACCTTTTCTACAACTTCAATATAGGTGATAGTTAAGTCATTCAGAGCTCGACCCAAGAGCCCAATGCAACTAAACACTCCAGGTGGAGACTATTAGATCTAGTGAATAGACCCGCGGCTACTCCTGGATTTAGGAAACAGGTTACTCACTTGCCCATTGGCAACCTCAGAGAAGTGTTTGAACTAGCCTCTGTGTCTAATACTATGGGTTGGACATACCAACAATTCCACCCCACTGGGGGCATTATATTTTTGATAATGTGCTCGATGAATTAGGACACATTAAAGCCAAGACAAAAATGTCATTCTTATATTTCACCCACATAAACCCTTTGGTATATCGCATACTACTTCGAAAGTTTAATTGGATTAGAAAAGATCTATTCAGACATTTTCTACAGCAGACAAGTAGATGCTGATTGCTTATACCTAACTCTGTAAGCCAGAGAGTGAGAGCTATTTAAGAGACAGAAGTTCCTTTTATTATCAGTCCCAATCTAGCTAAGTAGGTCTTCACTTTTTAATGGAAATTTAACTTTTGATTTACTGCATTTACCTCAGAGTTCAAAAAGGTAAAGTCTGTCAAGTGAGCGTTACTATGTGAGTTAACAGTACAAACATAAAATATATAGATTTGGATTTCATGTGACATTTTCAAGGACCAACACCAATACTGTTCTGTATTCTAAAATATGACCCCCAGCCCAGTAGCATCAGATTTCTCTGGGAACTTGCTAGAAATGCAAATTCTTGAGCCTTACCAGAAACTTGAGCTTGTGGCTCAGCAATCCATTTTAACACACCCTCTAGGTGTTTCTGATGATGCTCAATAAAACTCAGAATGCTGACCCAGAGCAGGAATTGGCAAACTATGATCTGTGAACTATATCCAATCTCCTGCCCACAAACTAGGAGTGGTTTCCTGATGAATAACTGCAATGATTCAATGACAGGGACACTAACTTTGAATCCCAACTCAGTGAAATGTTAGCCCAACAGTGAAGATGCCATTCTTCTCATTAGTAGATGTGTATTACAAAAAAAAAAAAAAATGTTTTACTCAAATATTACTTTGTTATATTTTGAATTCCGTCAATACAAACACTGTGGAAATTTGTTTTCTCTCTTATTATATAAGTACCATTATATATCTTCAAATGTGCTTCTTCGCCTTCAAAGCTTAAAAGATTTATTACCTGGCCCTTTACAGGAAATGTTTGCCAACCCCTGACCTAAAGAAAGAGGGAAACATTTGAAAAAGGTGTTATACACACAATCTTTCCGGTTATGAATGAGAAAGCACATCAGTAAAGCATTCTGGAATTGTTTCTCCATGTGTCCCTGAAAAGGTAATGTAGTCATGATAATGAAATGCATTAAAAACCAACAGCTGCATATATTTTTAAAATATTTCCTTTTTTCTCTCAGAGTGATTTTTTTTAATTATAAAAGCTTGATTCTAATTGTAACAATTACCCACAGCTTAATTAATATATTGCTTAAAGATATGTGGGGATTAGACCTTAAAAGGGTGGGTTTTGTATAGCTTGATTATCATAATTACAAGCATTCTATTTTCTCATTTACTTAATTGATTGTCATAGATTTCCAGATGAATTCACACTGCTGGAAGAGAATTGAATGCATTTCTAAGAGAAAAAAAAAAAAAACAGAAACAGGGCTATTTAGAAGAGCAATATGTCCCACAATATAATCTATGTGGCATGAAAAATTGCCTTTGATAATATCTCCTTACCTCTTTGCTGGTTAAAATGGGCATTTTTGTGAAATGAAAAAGAAATGAATGAAAAAGTGTTATTGATTCAACCACATCTATAATAACACTGGCTCCGCTGTCTCTTCAGTCAGAGGTGGCTAGCACTCAAGAAAAATTTTCCATTTAGTTTTCCTTATAGAATCTAGTTTGGTATATTATGTCAACTATTTGTTATGCCTCTTGCAATGACCTCAGGCCTCACCTGGAGGGAGCATGGCATAAGAGGTGATTTATTCTCTCTCTGAGGTTTATTCCAGAGCATTTACTCAGTAGCAGTACCTGATTTGGCAGGCTGGGCTGAGTTACCTACAGGTGTTTGTGATGAAGACTGTTTTTCAGCAGAGGCAAGGATGACCTCACCAAGCATGAGGTGAGGAAAAAGAGAGCATCAGAGAATTTCTCTCATTGCAAAGCCTTAAATTTTCAGTGCCCCTTCTTCAATTTTGTTGCTGTTGTTTAATCGTAACAACAGCCTTATGGGGTAGATGCTGCTGTTGCCTCAAATTGACAGATTGGGAAACTGAGACAACTAAGGAATTTATTTATTGATTGATTGATTGATTGATTGATTGCAATTTGCAGGGAGAATCAGACCATCTGGCTCTAGAAGCCATTGTTCTTTTCCTTTTCTTTCTTTCTTTTTTTTTTTTTTTTTGAGTTGAAGTCTCTTACCCAGGCTGGAGTGCAGTGGCACACTCATAGCCACCCCAGTGTCAACCTACTGGGCTCTGGCGATCCTTCCTCCTCAGCCTTCCAAGTAACCGGAACTACAGGCCTGCACTACCATGCCCGGGTAATTTTTTTAAATTTATCGTAGAGACAGGGATCGATACGTTGCCTGGGCTGGTCTCGAATGCATGGCCTCAGGCAATCCACTTCCTTTGGCCTCCCAAAGTGCTGGGATTACAGGCTGAGCCATCCATCGAGCCTGACCAGAGGCCATTGTTCTTAACCAACACAGCATGTTGTCTCTCAAACATTAGAACATATAGCATCCCACTACCACATTGCCTGGTCCCCAGTTACTGTAGCTATTTTAATTTGTTTTTCAGATTTGAATTTGAATTTTTTCCCTTTAAAACTGAGTTTTAATTTATATACTTCACAATTCAACCTTTTTAAGTGTACAGTTCTATGAGTTTTGACAAATGCATACATTCAAGTAATCACCACCATAATCAGGATATAGAACTATTCTATCACTCCCCCAAATTTTCTCATGCCCCTTTGTAATTAACTCCCTCCCTCAGCCTCTGGCAATCATTGATCTCTTTCTAAACTTCTATTTTATATTAGATTTGCATGTTATTTAGTAGTCATCATATGTAAATGTTTAATGTATAGAAAAAGGCTCTTCGAATAACCTATTGTGACATCTTAGTACCCTCTCCCAAAAAAAGAAAAATTGAAAAGGAAGAGAATTAAAAAAAAATCTTAAGAAAATAGTTAAGCAAGGCATAAGTACAGGAGAAGGATTCAGGAATTTTAAAAGAAACCACCATTGGTTTGATTAGTCTATTAAACATTCATTAGAAGATACAAGTCAAAAAAAATCTATAACCTCACTCACTTGAAGTTTAGGTCAGCTCATTAATAAAGCTTCTATCTTTCAGAACTCATACACATATTTCTGTAGAGAGAGCAATCTATAAGTTCAATTATGACTTTTTCCTTCTTGGAAGCAAAAAATCCTCTGGTGAGGTTTCCATCACTAGCTAGCTCCTTAAGAGGCAAACCCTCTCTCTACTTCAGGATTTGTCTCCACGTCTGTCTCAAACCACACCCAGAGGAGCTCTACTTCTTTTGTATCTGCTTATGCTTACTCACTGTTGGTTTCTTCAACATATGAGGACCCCAAAAGACCTGAAATTTATTTATTTTAAAAATTGTGTATTTATTCTTACATGTTTAAACTTCAGTCGCCTTCAAAGTACTCTCCGTGTGATGCAATATACCTATTGAGACACTTTTTCCACTGTTCAACAGTTTTGAACTCCTCAATTTTTATGCCTTTTAGTGCTTCTACCATTTTTTGTTTTACTTCTTTCACATCAGCAAAACTTCTCTTTGAGAACATTTTTCATCCAGGGAAACAAAAAAAAAGTCACTTGGGAACAGATCAGATGATTAGGGAGGATTGGGCACCAGGATCATGCTACTTTGGATCAAAAACTGCTGAACACTCATTACCCATCATGAAATGGGCAAATGCGTTGAAAGAATCTCTTTTAAAAATTCACCAAAGCCAAACACAGACTCTCACAACAACACTAACTGGTACACTGATGCCAGTGGGTTCCTAAAACACTTACTTAGTGGGGGATGCCTGCGCTACAAGGGGTCTATTCTCCAAAAGATAATTCTGGGTTTTTTGCCCACCCACCCCCCTCAGTTTTGTATGCTAGTTCACATTTCCTTTAAGAAAAGATAACTTCACAATCACAAGCTACTCTTCAGACTTTATCAACAGAAGCATCTGACTTAACTTGGAAAGCAAGCCATTTTCAAAAATATACCCCTCAATTTAGTGGGAGTCCAAGCCATAGGCAGCACTAGTATGGGAGACAAACAGGATACTGGAGGGGCAAGGACAGGATGAGGGACTCTACAGCAATGCTTCTCAGGTTCTATATGCATAGTAATTACCCGGGAAACCTTGTCAAAATGCAGATTAGTCATGCTGGGGTTGAACCCATGGTTTTGATTTTCTTGTGAGCTAGGGGCAATGCTGATACTGCTGGTAACCTTTGAGTAGTAACAAGCTCTAGAACTCAAGGATAGACTCTACAGGATTGCTAGTATTCACTAATCATCTATTTGGGGCCATACCAGAGGCTTTTGCCTGTATTACCGCTTAAAATATTTACAAAAACTTATTGGAAGCAATTAAGAACTAAGGTGAGGTTTGAGTCTCCAGTATAATTTTAGGTTGGAAACTCATTCATTTCATTTCTTATATGTGGCTTTCTCATAGATCTTATGGGAGAAAGTTGAGGTCCTAGAGAAAGCAATACATCTAAGAAATAAAAGCAATAAGAAGTAAAATACCACACCAATATTTTGCTGATTCAGTGCTCAGTAGCCCAATATTGGATTCTATGTTAAAACCCAAGTTGAGCTCATGACATAACTCCAGGCCAAA